ACATTGTTGTCATAGATGCACTATTATATATACTTACTAAAAATTATTGCAACGTATACTTACCAAAAATGTACATAAGAACAAAGAGGAAACTATCAAAAATGAAGAGGTAGACAAGACATTGTAAACATGTATTTTTTTCCACTGAGATTTAAAGCTACTGGCTAAAACAAAATGATTCTAACTGAAAAACAAAAGGAACAGTTAAAGGAAGATTCTGTATGATTTTTAACTAAAGGGACTGATTTTTCTCCCTCAGAACCTACAAACCTTTAATAGAACTAAATAAAATCTGATCTCCAATAGGAGGTACCTCCTGTAATGCTCTGGGCTACAATCTTTCTTGTTAACAAAAATTAAATATGGCAAAATAAGCACTTTAAGCCTATAGATGACTATTGGGATTACATAATTCATCATGTAATCATGTACAGGGTCCTCTGACTATACACAATAAAGTAACTACACAGGAACCCAAATGTCATTAAGCCTCCTTGTGTGGTTCATGAAAAAAAATATACCATACAGCAATTTTAACATTACGCTAATTTTTAAAAACCCAGAACCAGCATGAACATCACTAATATCTGCACCAAAGCATCATATATGAGCCTTGTCGCTCATAGTTTTGAAGAGTCAATATCATTAAAATGGCCATACTGCCTAAAGTAATCTACAGATTCAATGCAATTCCTATCAAGATACCATCACTATTTTTCACAGGACTGGAAAAAACTATTCTAAAGTTCATATGGAACCAAAAAAAGAGTCCGAATAACCAAAGGAATCCTAAGCAAAAAGAACAAAGCCAGAGGCATCACATTACCTGACTTCAAACTATACTACAAGGCTACAATAAACAAAATAGCATGGTATTATTACAGAAACAGACACATAAACCACTGGAACAGAATAGAAAACCCAGAAATAAAGCTACACACTTGCAGCCATCTGATCTTCGACAAAGTTGACAAAAATAAGCAATAGGGAAAGGACCCCCATTCAATAAATGGTGCTGGGATAGCTGGCTAGCTGTATGCAGGATAATGATATGGGACTCCTACCTTTTACCATATACAAAAATGAACTCAAGATGGATTAAAGATTTAAACGTAAGACCTCAAACAGTAAGAATCCTAGAAGAAAACCTAGGAAACACCATTCTGGACACTGGCCTTGGGAAAGAATTTGTTACTAAGTCCCCAAAGCAACTGCAACAAAACAAAAATTGACAAGTGACACCTAATTAAACTAAAGAGCTTCTGCACAGCAAAAGAAATGAACAGAGTAAACAATCTAAAAAATGGGAGAAAATATTCATAAACTATGCATCTAACAAAAGTCTAATAACCAAAATCTATAAGGAACTTAAGCAAGCAAAAAAAAAACCACCATTAAAAAATAGGCAAAATACATGAACAGACATTTCTGAAAATAAAACATAAAAGCAGCCACCAAATACATTTTAAAAATACTCAACATCACTAAATGTCAGAAAAATGCAAATCAAAACCACAATGAGATACCACCTCACACCAGGCAGAATGGCTATTATTAAAAAGTCAAATACAACAGATGCTGGCAAAGCTGTGGAGAAAAGGGAACACTTATACATTGTTGGTGGGAATATAAATTAGTTCAGCCTTTGTGAGAAACAGTTTGGAGATTTCTCAGAGAACTTGAAAAGAGTTACCATTCGAACTAGCAATTACGTAAATGGTTATATATCCAAAAGAAAATCAATCATTCTACTAAAAAGACACTGCACTCATATGATTATTGCAGCACTATTCACAATAGCGAAGACATGGAATCAACCCAGGTGCACATCAGTGGTGGATTGGATAAAGACAATGTAGTACATATATATCATGGAATACTATGCAACCATTAAAAAGGACGCATAGCTGGATGCAGTTATGCAGCCATAAAAAAAGATGCAGCTTGAGGCCACTATTCTAAGCAAACAAACACAGGAATGAAAATCCAAATACCACATGTTAAAAGTGGGAGCTAAACACTGGTACTCAAGGACATAAAAATGGCAACAATAGACACTGAAGACTACTGGATGGGAAAGCGGGGACAAGCGTTGAAAAACTATTGAGCACTATGCTCAGGACCTGGGTGAGGGGATCAGTCAAAGCCCAAACTTCAGCATCATGCAGTATACCCAGGTAACAACCCCATACATGTACCCACTGAATCTAGATGAAATTCAAATTATTAAAAAATAATAAATTACATTAAAAGAAAAAAAGGGCAATGATCAGAGAGCAGTTCTAGAGAAAGGTAAGCAACCCACAAATTAAAAATAAAGATGTCTGATTCTTCTCTTTTCTTCATTAGTCTTGCTAGCGGTCTGTCAATTTTGTTGATCTTTTCAAAAAACCAACTCATGGCACAAGTATACATATGTAAAAAACCTGCACGTTATGCACATGTACCCTAGAACTTAAAGTATAATAATAATAAAAAAAAAAGAACTAAAAAATAAATAAATAAATAAATAAATAAATTATCACTTCAAAAAAAAAAAAAAGATGTCATTCATACTTACAAGAACAGAGTGAACTCCAGATAATTCTGAACGAAGTCATGTCTCTGCTCTGCTAATGTATAGAGAAAGCTCTAATGTCAAGTTGTTCATCACTAAAACTACAGTTCAATATTTGAAATTCTCTAATAAAATATTATTATCTGAACAAAGAAGAAATGCTCACACTTTCTCAACTTAAATTAAGGTTGAAGTCAAATAATGTATTCTTGACTGCAAGATGAAACTTGTCTTTCAACAGTTTCATTATGGTATAGTAAGATTAATAAATATATTTTAAAATTTTTCAGTCATCGCCTCAGAACAAGATGGGCAACTGTCCAGAAAAGATAAGAGAGTATTCTGAAAACTGATTTGGCCACAGAAAACCAGACATTTCCTACTTTATTCTTTGAAAATTGTTTCCCAGCGTTTGATTGTAGCTTCTAATTAATAAGACAAATGAGAGCATATTTCTGGGAATTAAAAAAGAAATGTGTTTTTGTTACGCTTTTCCTCAGTTCCAACCCTGAGAACAAAAGTGAAGATGAATAACAATGCTATTGCTCTGTTGCAGGGATGATGTATTTCAAATGCTGGGCTCCTTCCAAGGTGTTATTAAAGTTCTCTCAAGCGTTGCTACTAAAAAAAAAATGTCAAAAGAACTCATGTTATTTATTGTTTCTCAAAATCCATTGCTGCTTCAGGTTGTGCCTAAGTTAACGCATCCATTTTATTTTGGAAGTCACTGCACAATGCTCTGATAAATGAATATAAAAGACATTAGTAGATACAAGTAATGAAAACTTGATTCCAAACCTTCGTGAATCTGACAAAGAGACCAGAGATTTTAAAACAATGATAGTATGTAAATAAAATGCAGATCCAAACAGAGCTCCTATAGAATGTGTGACAAGTGGTCTTCTAGTCTTTATTAAGGAGACAAGCAGCAGGGTCCAAGGCATATTTTAGGAAGATGTTAGGTGAGCTCAATATTTCTCTAAAATTACCAAACCTACTGATACCTGGTGCTTTTGTCTATAATGCAGTAAGTGAATAGGGGAATAAATAGGGAGAATGTTATAGGTGGAAAAGAACACAAACAATAATAGCAGTAGAAGTAATAATGAACATCTATGCAGTGCTTAACCCTGGGGTCAAAGATGCTAAGAATTTTACATGGATTATGTCATTTAATCCTCCCAAATAACTTTCTGAGGTAGGCAGCCTAAACTGTCAGAGAATTATTTTAACTAATTCTTCATGACAAGATGAGCCCTTCATGGTAGATAACTCAGATTCTCCGCACCTCTCTTTTAAAATGCATCTGAATTCATTGAAACATAGAGATGAAAGAAAGCTTCATGGCCAGGTGTGGTGGCTTACACCTGTGATCCCAGCACTTTGATAGGAAAAGGTGGGTGGATCACCTGAGGTCAGGAGTTTGAAACCAGTCTGGCCAACATGGTGAAACCCAGTCTCTACTAAAAGTACAAAACTAGGTGGGTGTGGTAGTGCAATCCTGTAGTCTCAGCTACTCGGGAAACTGAGACAGGAGAATCGCTTGAACTGGGGAGGTGGAGGTTGCAGCAAGCTGAGATCGCACCACTGCACTCCAGCCTGGGTAAGACACAGCAAGACTCCATCTCCAAAATAAAAATTAAAAAAAAAAAAATTAGAAAAAAAGAAAAAAACCTTCGTGATCAATTGATCTCATATATATGTATATATGTTAAGTATGATTTGTAAAGGAGTAAAAATATTAATTTGTCTAGGTTCATTAATTTCCAATGTATAAAACTGAGGTTCAAACATTAAAAAGATTTACTAAGATCATAGTTGTCAGAGACACCTCTCTCCCAGTCTGTTGGTACTTTCACCACACATCATGACCTTACCTGGCAGAGAAGGAAGCTATGTGCTATTACTGTCATTTCTAACAACACTATTCACTCAAACAAGATTCACTCTATACAAAGAATCTTTGTAATCTATATGAGTGGGTTATGTTTACATGGACTAACTATTAACCTGAAAACTGCTCATTAAGCTGCAAAAAAAAAATTCATCTCAAATTTACCACAATGTCTTATAATTCAAAAGATCTATGCAATACATTTCCAAATTATCAGAACAATATTTGATATAAATGGGGTAAAAGAGATACACAACACAAATTAACATGGATTAATTCAGTCTTTATACTGAATCTGTTGGGTTTCTTAAAAACAACCAATTCATTCATACTTAATGTTTGACATCTGATAAGGAAAGAAGATGACGAAAGGAAGTTGAGTTCAGGGAAAGATGAAAACACAGGAATACTATAAGGGGAGGGGGGAAGAAAATAGACAGGCAGAGAGAAGAATACGTGAGGCATGGATGATGACTTAGAGAAAATACAGAGGAAAGCAAGTGATGGACTCAAAACTTGGTCAAGCCATTGGAAGTCTAATCTCAAGACTGTTGAAGCCTGCCACTGATAACTGCGTCAGTTGCCCCTCAGTGACATCCTTGCTTCTGATGACCAACCCTTGCATCTTTACAGCTCATTACAGCAAGATAAAGATGTAAATACTTTGGAGGCTAGGACAATGGCTTTCCATTCATTTCCATCTCACTAAATCATTCATGAGCGTTTTCTACCTCTAGTCATACAATTAACCTGTGACTGATAACAGAAAATGAGAAAGATTATGGATTATCAAAATCATTGCAGTTCAACCTGCAAATGATTAACTGTCATACAGCTACATGATTAGCTCTTGATATTTTTTATGGCAGACATAGTGGTTCATTGGTATTAAATGCACAGACAAAACAGTTAAATTATAAGAGCCCTCAATGTTAGATTAAGGAATAAATATAAATTATTTTAAAATAGCATTTTCTTATAAAAGCCAACTAAAAAATTAGAGACTTCAGACATCACACAGGTACACATTAACAAGAACAGCTATTATGGGGAAAATAATGAAGACAAAGTCAAATTTATCAACAAAAACACAATTTTTACATATTATTGATCTTCTTTCCATGTTTTAATAAACTGTAAATGTGAAATTTGATGACATACAAATTTTAAAATGTTATTCATCTAGGTAAGACTGTATGTGACAACTTTACTGACTATAGTATCAATACGGGGCAGCTGTAACCTCCCAAATGTCCCATTCTGGCAAACTCAGGTGAGTAAGCAGAAATAAATATGAGGATGAGTAGATTTCTATCCTTATTTTAACTAAAAATCCTGCCTATTACTTTATTTTTAAGCTGCCACTAACATGTTTAAATGATAATTGCATCTCCTCAATGAGCACAGTTCCTTATTATTGGAATTGGCAGGGGGCCTTGACATTTGAGTCATCATTTCATTATGTCTATTTCTTACCCTGGTATACAAATTAAATAGAAATAGAAGCCAAATGAAATATAAGGGGAAAAAACATGAAGCAGTAATTTTAAAATGAATTAATTTTTCCCAAATCGATAAAATATATAAAGCAACAACATTGATAATAATATATTCTAGTTCAGACATATTTACAAAAATACCAACTTCAATTCTGAAGGCCAAAAATGCTTCAAATTCTCCTAGCCAAATATTGTACTTCTGTAAAACAGAACTGAGAGCTTTGATATTCCCTAAATTAGAGAGAATAACTCCTTTTAAAGCAACTACAAATGTTAACAAAAATACACATTTAACAAGTTTCTTCCGTTCTAAAGGACTTCAAAATGGGTAGCAATTATTAAGCATACATATAATATACATATGTGACAATTTGTATTTAAAACATCATATGATCAAATAATACTAATTCATTCAGACTAAACTATCCAAATGTGCCAAACTGGAATCCAGGTCTATCCTTACTTTCAAATCACTGAACTTGCATGATAAAAACATTATTAATTTCCTAAACCACCTGATTTAGTAATATTGAATAAATGTGCATCTTTCTATCATTCTCAAATAATTTTTTTTTTTTTTGAGACAGCGTCTCACTCTTGTCGCCCACGCTGGAGTGCAGTGGCACAATCTTGGCTCACTGCAGCCTCTGCCTCTGGGGTTCAAGCGATTCTCCTGCCTCAGCCTCCTGAGTAGCTAGGATTACAGGCACCCGCCACCACACCCAGTTCATTTTTTTGTGTGTTTTTAATAGAGATGGGGTTTCATCATGTTAGCCAGGCTGGTCTCAAACTCCTGACCTCAGGTGATCCACCCACTTCGGCCTCCCAAAGTGCTGGGATTACAGGTGTGAGCCACCGCACCCAGCCATCCTTCCCTAATTTTTTTTAAAAAACTTCATTGAACTTCAAAATTACAAAAATCATCAATCATGAAACAAATCCTGTATAAAATCCTCAAAAACACGTTAAGCGCTGCTTTCAGATGGCTATTTCCTCATTTATTTATATTACTCCAGAATATGTATAAATTATTTTCACTGAGTCTTTAATTACTTCCACAACTCTTCTTTCCTTTAGCCCAGAGCAACCTGTCATTTCTAATAGCTAATAGCTTCCCCCAAATGCTTGGAAACAGGCTGAATAGCCTAAAAGAACTTTATTTACCCTGGTACAAAATGTTGAAAAGACACTTTACTGGAAACTGAATGACTGTACAAATTTCTGCCTGGAAATTAATGTTACTTTTTCCCTTTAATCACTGAAAGTATATTACTAAATGTAAAAAGTCATGGTTTATTTTTCTTTATATTTTATTATCTATTTTAATGTTGACTTTTTAAAATATTTTACCTGAGGGACAAAATGTTCATTTAAACCTAAATATTTTAAGATTTATTTCTGTTGTCTTTTCATCAATTATTTATAATTTATAATCCAGATTTCCCAAAAGAATTCAAAGAAATCCACAAAAAATTTCCTAGGCTTCACTTATTCTCTCAACTAGTGATCATGTTCTAAATCAATGAATCTCTATTTTAATACTAAAATTTAAATAGAAAAGAAGTCTTGAGACAGTCAATCCTCCACTTCTGGGGAATACATTATTCTGCATATTAAGACAAAAATAGGATGTAAACCAGATGTTCCTAGATTATGAAATTTAGAAAAGAACATATTCAAAGTGAAGGTAACTTTTAGCATCTATATTTAAAGATATTGCAGTCATGCCCCACAATGTTGAAACGCTATATTTCTTATAATTTGACTAGAGTCAGTGGAAATATTCATGAGTTTATATTATCAGGTTTTTAGTGACTTCTATCATTTTTGTAATTGCTATAGCTAGTATTAATAAATGTCTTCTTTTTATATGCTGAAATAAATTAATGGAGGAGGTAGACACTATGCAAAATGGCTGGGAATGGGGCCAAATCTTTTTACATACATCCAGGGACCAGTAATCTTCTAAATGGCACTTTGAGCTCTCTCGCCTAAATAATTACAAGTACAGCCACCATATAATTTACTGAAAGAATTATCCACTCTTCTGGTTCCTATCTCCCATCTCAAGTCCATAGCCACTTACCTTGTCTTTATTTTCAGAGCCAGAAGCCTCAGGCTTGGTTCTAATCACAAACGGGGTAGACAGTCGCAGTAGGACCCTTTCAAAGGTGGCATTAACCTTTGGAGATACAATCTCGAAGCAGTCCTCAAACTTGAGCACTTTGTGAGTGTCACATCGAAGCTGCTTCCTTAGACCTTCCCCCAGCTGAAGGACTGACATGCTGGGGTCAAACATCAAGTGGAAAGGGAAGGCTCTGCAGAAGGTGTTGATGCTAATTCTGAGGTCCGCAGGAACTTGGGAGGTTCCCTGTGGAAGGTTCTTCATGATATTAGTATTTTCACATTCTTTGATAAGGAAAGTAAGACAGCTACAATTGCCTGGGTTTGAAACATCAGAGCATAGCTTCTCATTTGCAACCTGTTCCACTTCCACGTCCAGCCGATAGATCTTCTTTCCTGCAGCCTTAATCATCCCCAGCATTGCAAACCCCACAATATGGTGAGGGTGGAAGTAGTGGAGCATGAGAGTGCCTTCAGGAAGCTCTTTGCATAGGAAAGAGGGTGACTCCAGAGTGGCCTGTTTTCCAAAAGAAGTTCTAATGTGTTCCAACAAAGCATCAAAGCCGTTAAAAAAGTCCTGCAAAGTGCCACCTACAGCTCGAAGGACTCTCTCATTCTCATGAAAGCATATATTAAAGAACTCTTCACCAAATCTTTCTTGAATTTCCTCAAACTTCAAACCTAGAGGCAAATGGGAGGCAAATGTTAGTGAAGTCTAATATAAATAATTGAATTTACAGCTTTTTAAGTGCTCATCAAAAGAGTAACTACTGAGTGAAGTAACAAAGGTTATTTCTCTTGGATCCACAAATTTTCACATAGGTTAATTCACTCATCTTGAATCAGAAAAAGTAAATTTCAGTCCATCTTCGGGATGCTTCTAAAATGTTAATGAACATGAACCTTTGTTTGTTTTTAAATAGACTACATATTTTTAGACCAGTTTTAGATTCACAGCAAAATTGAGCAGAAGGCACAGTTATTTCCCATATCTCTCTGCCCCCACACACGCACAGCCTGCCCCATTATCACATCCCCCACCAGTGTGGTACATTTATTACAATCTGCGAACCTACATGATGCATGATTATCATCCAAAGTCCATGGTTTACATTAGGGTTCACTCTTAATATTGCATATTCTGTGGGCTTAAACAAATGTATAATGATATGTATACACTTATCATATCACCTAGAGCATTTCACTGCCCTAAAAGTCCTGTTTATCCCTTCCTTCCCCCTAACTCTCAGAGCATCAGCTTTTTAAATGTTGCTAATCTAGCTGTTCACCTTTCAATAGCCTTGCAGTAGTTATCACAAATAATATATTTTTCTTTTTCTTAATGATTTCCCCATTCTTCATAGAATATCCAAGTTGTCTACATATTATGTCCATATACCATCCATGTTATCATCTTACTTCTTATCGAAATGCATGTATTAAGTGGAAAATATAAACCAGAGAGGAAATCTATGGTACATGAGCGGGGAGAGGCATCAAGCTATCTGGTGGAAACAAAAGGCTTACATTAGCATTCTCAGGGAAAGACACGCAGGTCAGCTAGACCCCAGGGAAAAGGAGACAAAACAAGAAAATAATAATGGCAGAACTGTAGAATGATTTGCATTCTTTCACCCACAAAAGTGAGGGCAGCCAAGAATGGAGTAGGAATCTGATGAGATAAAATTAAAGGTTATTGTTAAGTTTCCTCCATATATAATCACTCCCTGTTGCCCTGGCAAAAGGAGTTCCACCTTATAGTGCTGGATATTATAATGAAAAATAAATAAGTGTGCACAGTGTATTCCATAGTAATAAGAAGCAGAATCACATGTGATCACAAGATCCCCGCTTGAGGATGATCTGAGGAAAAATGAGGGAATTTATACGCCAAGGAGGACTATAACACATATAAAAGATTTTGGCCTTCATATTAAAGACAGCTTCTACCTAAAGTCACTCTAGTGCTTCTCCTTTGACATTGGTTGAAATCAATACATGTAGTTTACATATTCATATTTTCTTACCCCATTTACTTCATCTCATTTGGAAGTCCTGCAAATCAGGCAGGACTGGGAAAAGAAGGTCACTTTGCTAGCGCCCCATTAGAGTACAGAGCAATCTAGGCTGTCTACAGCTTAGTTGCTTTCCTACCTTTATCATGCCCTGAGTGTTCCTCCCAGCCAGAAGTGAGGCAAATGAACAGAGTGAATAATATTATTTTTAAAATAGTCAAAGCACATCTAATATTCTTTAAGAGCTTACTATAGAGTCTAAAATTTGTGGTAGCCAAGAAATCAGTTTGACAAAGAACTTCTTAAAATCAATGTGATAGGAAAATAAGTAGAAAACCTAAGTGAGAAAGAGTCCCTTTATTAATAAGCATTTCATATTGATTTTGGTTTCATGAATTGGATGCTCAAGACTTGTTGGGAAAGTCACCTATTAAGATAAAAATATCACCACTCATCTCACATTGCCAGGTTACAAGACTGCTCTTCAACATATGTTGCATTCACTAACAATAATGTCAGCCAGAATTGATAATACCAGTACTTATCTGTCCAGTTCTCTAGTGTAAAAGAGAAAACAAGATAGATAATATTCACTGCCATTAGGCTCCTGTTCTGACTGCTCTGTTGAAACTGCTTTCATAAATACTTAAACCAATATATACTGTTTTGTCCTTATCTTACTTAACCTTGTTTGCTGTTTTTCCTTTAATTTGACACTATTAATCAACCCTTCCTCCTAAAACTCTCATCCCTTTTGGCTTATCAAACCATACTCTCCTGGTCTGATTACTCCGTTTTAACACTAATTCTCACTGCCTTCACTAAAACTTCTTTCTATGCCAAATCCTTACATCACCATCACTATGTTTTAACTAGAAAACTCTAACATACAAGTTAAATTTATATGCACATTCAATGACAGTCCTTTGTTGCTATGAAATCTTCCAGTTATGACATTCTTATTAAAAACTAAATACAGAATAAATAAAAATTCCTGTAAACTGACCATATATGCTGAACTACAATACTCCATATGCCACTGAAAATATTCCATGGATTGCTTCTAAACTTTGAAGAATTGTATTTTCAAAAGACTTCGGGTCCACATGCATTGAAGAGAAAAAGAGAAGTTTTTCTAACTTGCATTTCTCATAACATTGAAAAGGCCCTCACAGTTATGGTGCACACAAATGTAAAGACAATACAGTGTAAGCTTATGTTCTGTGTCTAATGCCAGGATCCCGAAGAATCATCCAGAAAATAACAACTAGGTAAGTTCACCATAGGCAACATACTACTCTTTGCGCAGTTCTATATAAACCCGTAATATTCAATTAACGAATAAAGATTTTTAGTCCCAGAACTGTTAAACTGCACAAGATCAGAAAGGAAGAAAAAACTATTAGATTTGAAAATATTAAAACTAAGAAAAGACTACTTCAACTTTTACAAATATGCTACAAGTCAACAGCCAAGATTTTCATTTTAAACCTTAATCTCAAAATTCAGAAAGCACAGACAAAGTAATTCAATTCAGACAACTGATGCAATTCTGACTCCCAAGGTTCCGCCTACGATTGACGCAAACTCCCTACTTACAGTAAATCACTTGAAACCTATAGACAATGCTCATCTCCTCACATCACAAGATTCTATGACAGCTTGACATCTGGGTCTATAAGAATACATTTCCTCAAGAGGGAAAATTCATAACAAAACTGTTCTTATTAATGGGTAAGTTAAGTTAGAATTTTTAACTACTGTTAATTCACCTGTTTTAAAAAAGGTGAATAGCATAAATGCTGGCATCCGTTAGCTGTAAATGATATAGAATCTGTTCCTTCACAATCTAATCCTGTTGTCTCTCATCTGCTTTCCCACCCCACCTCAGATGGCATTTCTTGAGGACAAGGATCTTGCCCTATTTATGTCTGCATATCTATCGCTGGCATAATGCCTGATACCTGGAGAATAAGCATTGTTTCATAGAAATTAAGCATTCAGCTAAGTATTTGTTTGGTGAATATTACTAATCTTTTAAGGTTGCACTTGTGCCACATCTAAGGATATGAAAACAAAAAGACACATGATTTTCTCTCGTGGGCCCCTACAGAACATTAAATTACATTATGGTTGGGCTACAACAGGGGTACACAGGAGTACCCATGGAAGTAGAGGAAAGAGAGTATCAGCCTCTCCTCAGAGAGACAATGTTTGAAGGGAGACTTGAATAAAAGAGCAGGTTAGGCAGGGCACAGTGGCTCATGCCTGTATACCTAGCACTTTGGAAGGCTGAAGCAGGCTGATCGCTTGAGCTCAGAAGTTGAAGACCCAACCTGGCCAACATGGTGAAACCCCATATCTACAAAAAATACAATTAGCAGGGTACGGTGGTACAGGCCTGTAGACCATAGTCCCAGCTACCTGGAAGGCTAAGGTGGGAGGATCACTGGAGCCCAGGATGCTGAAGTCGCAGTGAGCCATGATCATGCCACTGCGTTGAGCCTGGGCAGCGGAGGGAGACCCTGTCTCAAAGAAAAAAAAAAAAAAGCAGTTGGTGGTCCCAGCCTGGGCAACGTGGCATAACCCTGTCTCTATTAAAAATACAAAAAAACAGCCCATAGTGGTGCAGGCCTGCAGTCCCAGCTACTCTAGAGGCTGAGATGGGAGAATCACCTGGGCCCACGGAAGTCTAGGCTGCAGTGAGCTGTGACTGCACCACTGTACTCCAGCCTGAGTGACAGAGTGACACCCTGTACTGAAAATTACTGTACAAGAGTGTAAATGTCAGGAAGCATTCACTGGGGAGCCATCTTTGGGAGGAGAAAGAGGATCATGAAAAATAACTAACTGGTACCAGGTTTAATATCTGAGTGGTGAAATAATCTGAACACCAAACCCCCCATGACACAAGGTTACCTATACAACAAACCTGCACATGTACTGCTGAATTTAAAATAATTTTTTTAATCTGTGAATTTTTAAAAAATTAAAATTTAAAAATTAAAAACATATATTAGATATAAATTGTAATAATGTGAAATATGTATAATAAAGATGAAGCCAACCCCAATGTGAGTACTCTGAAACAAATTTTTTCACCTAATAACCACATCTAACAAGTGCA